GTGCATAGTGCAGTACTCCGAGACACTAAGTTGCTTTTCAATGAAGCAAGTCTACAGAGCTATAGTCACTCTGAAACCAAGGAAAGTACTTTTTAACGCCAACAGAATGACCAACAATACATCCCGGAATTGATGGTTTTCAACCATTCCCAGGAGAGAAAGTTAAACAAAAGATGTCCGCCATTGCTGGTGGACCTGACAAAAGAAAACCACCACCGTGACTGGTGGACCTTTTTGTTTTGATCACTCTCATGGAAATGGTTGAAAACCACCAATTCTTGACATGCAAGTTACGTCATCACCGCCATGTTGGATGAAGATCAGTTTCTCTTGTTCATTCATCCAACATGGCGGCGACATCTTTGTTCTTTATTTCTCAAGGGATTACTAGTTATGCATTGCACACCAAGGATACAGCATTATCTAGAATATCGGTATTCAATATTCAACGTTTTCTGAAATAGTTATAATCATAATATCAATATGATATTATGAAACTTTCCGGTGGCTTTCATAACGTTGAGTTACTTAACGTTCCATTCAGTGTTGAATTGGTGTTTGTTAACACGGCTTCCATGGAACTGTCATACAAAAAACCTACAAAACAAACGAATTCAATAACTATCTTATATCAGCTATCCTGTATTTAAACAAAACAATTCTATGAATTGCCTGTACTCTCGTGGRTGTATTTTTAAAAGCAAAACTTGATACACCATGATGATGATGATGATGACGATGATGATGTTAATGATGATGATGACAATGATGATGATGATGATGACAATGATGATGATAATGATGTTAATGATGATGATGACGATGACGACGACGACGATGATGATGATGATGAGCCCCGATACTGCAACTTATGTGAGCTAGCTCTTATTTTGGCAGACATCGCCCATCAAAATCAGCCATCCCTATCCCATAGGGTAAAAATTGGCCATTCAATAATATGGCATTGACAGACCAACATAGTGAGTCATACATACCCCTGAAGCATAAAAGACAATTCAGTGCTTACCTGCTATGGAAGCTGTTAAAAAACAAGCAATATTGGCTCCAACCAGGGTCCTTATTGCCATATTTGCCATATCGCCCTTTCTATTTGGTGCCATTGGACCCAGACCGCCAAGAAGGACTCCAAGTCCAATAAAGTTACTGAATCCACATAACGCATAGGTGGCAATAACTTCAGACTGTCTCTGCATTAGGTAAGAAGATATATTTATCATTTTAGTATTAATGATCATTTCACCAATGCAACTTGAATCTGTTCCCAATATACACCTATTTTAAAAGGTTGTCGTCGCTAGGACATAGTCCACAGTCTTGAGCCTGCAAAGAATCTCGGGATTGCCATATATATTTATGTAGTATTCACTTTGAGTTATTCAAAATTCTCGGTCTTGTAACGAATATACCTTTAAAGCTTATTAACAGTTTCAAAGAAAATGTCATTATTATCGACG